TCATCTGAAGACCTTTTCTTTCCTAACAGTGATGTGGTGGCAGGAGGTAGACCAGAGGGAATCACACTGTGTCCCTGCATTAAAGTGGACACTGTAAGGTAAAGAGAAGACACATGCTATGCCATAGCAGTGAACAAGTTTGTGGACCTGCTATCTTGATAAATGGTTTATTGTAGAAACATAGTTTGGGTTGGAAGAGACCTTTAAAGGTCATCTAGTCCAACCCCCAAATAGCACAGTTTAATAGCACAGTAAAGAAACAGTTGAATGCCTACTGTTGAGAGATACTGGAAAAACTTTCTCATGGACTACAACATGTTGCTTGTGGTTGAGGAAATAAGCATCCTGACCATCCACAGCCCAGATGTGGGACCAGTGACAAAAACAAAGCTGAAAGATAAAGCAGAGCAGAAAACAGAGTAGGAATAATTTTTCCTAGTGTAAGCAAGGTTTCAGATATCTACTAGTTCATACTCTGACAATTCTAGTGGTACCAGACTCTGATAACAGAAGGATAAAAGATCACTGTGACCACCGGTGCTACAGGGTGGGCACATTTCAGCCAGTATTAAGATCCTTCAGTGTGTGAGGCAGTGAAGGAAAATACTGGAATTCCATGATGCCTGAAGTGCACGACAGTCAATAATATTTTATCAATGCTTATATCTATCAATTGAGTACCGGCAGTTTATAGTGACTTTTGTTTTTATTAACTGAGGTAAATTTAATAATCAAGATTTTTTTAATATAGTCAAATTATAATTTTCTTTTCTCAGAAATACTGCAGGAGAATTTAAAGCAATGCCTAGCACAGAGTAGTAGGCCCCTTGGAAATTGGGTGTTGTAAAGTGTAATGTTTTGTAAAGCTTGAAATAAGTTTGAGGCTGCAAAAATTTGTTATGATATTAAAATATGAAGCAGAATATAAGTTAAAGCAACTCTATTTGAGGAGTCATACCTGTTAATCTGTAGCATAAGCTCAAATTTGTAGTTGAAAACAATTTTCTTAAACTTGACTAGGCTGGTTTCTGTGTTATTAGGGGCAGGAGCACCTCTCTGTTAAAAGTGGTTTGCTTTTTAATAGGGTTTAACCATAATTGTCCAGATTTTGCTGGTTGTTCAAAATAGTTCCACCTCAGGTTGGCCAACTATTGTTGGTTTCATCTCAGTTGCTACCAGCCTTCAACAAAAATGCTGCTTTAAGCTTGCCTTTCAGTGAATCACATGTTTTTACAATAACAGATTTGTTTGTTAAATTAACTTAAAGATAGAAATAGGTGAGCCAGGATTCAGGGTGAGTCACCTTCTGGTCCATCTAGAACCATCTTTGTCTCTAAACTTTCCTGTTTAATCAAAAGGATTATTTTCACAGGAAAGTACAGCTCTAAGATGTGCATCAGTATGGTCCCAGTTTTTGTGTTACTGAATCTGCTTGTTCCTGTTTGAATAAATAGCAAATCCCATGAGAAATCCCATAGCCATTGCTTATTTTACCATTTCTATTAGTTTTAACGTATTTATTGATTCCTTTGACTACATGTGGGCAAAAAATACTGATTGGTACTTGCATCATCTTATGCTCCTGCAGTAAAGATGGCAACGGAGTATTTTCTGAATGTCAATCATATATTTTCTGACTTTTTTTTTTTCTGTAAGTACATTTGCTAATCTCTCTTGTATGGTATCTATTCTTGCAGTTGCTTGCCTTTTTGTCCTTCCTGCTCTTAAATCCCTCAGTTACACTAGCTTGGTGGAAATTGTTTAAATGTACAACCCAAATTCTCCAGTGAGGTTTGGCTAACCAACAAGCTATTCAAGTGGTTTTGTCTCCCGGGTATGTCTTCATCCTCTGCTATTCCAGGTTGCTTGAATATCCTTGAACCCATAATTTACCCGAATCTCCTCTAAGGCTTTGAAATAATAAAATACTTAAATAAACTCTGGATAAATACTCTTTAAAATACAGCTTTATCTGTGAGCTATCACGCTCTCAAAGGAGTGGATTTTGTTCCTCAGACGATTAAGAGGATTTTCTGTCCACTGTATTACTGTGGTTTGTCCACTGAGATCGGGCATATACCTATCTTAACACCTGCAACAACTCAAGACAAAAAAGATGAGGAAAGTCTGTGAGAAAAATGGGACAGAGGCTAGACTGTTGCTGTGTGTGATTTTTTTTTCTGGTGCCTGAGTTCAGTTCCCTGATCTACCACATGATTTTCTGTGGGTCACAAAGCCTTCCTGTGCTTTTGAAAAATAATTCTCTGCTCAACAGGGATGTTGCTGAGGATAAATTAAGGGTGGCAAAGTGCCTAGGCATTACAGTGCGGTAGTCTTAGACACACAGAAAGGCTGTACTCAGATCCTTACTTCACAAAATAGGAAGAGGGAGATCACTTGACTTGCCATCACCAAATCCACAGGGGAAGTCTGAGGCAGAGCAAGAGTCTGAATCCAGTTTTTCTGCCAGAGGCCCCATGTGGTCCATTTTTCCTTGAAAAGTCCTTTTCACAGTCCTAGCTAGGCTGAAACCTGGAGTCCTGCAGATGCCTCCCAGGCAAGAAAGAAGGGGCTTGGAGGACCTTACTGGGACTGCCCAGGCTGCAGCTCATCATGGCAATCCAGGCAGGCACTGGAGACCAACATAATGTGGAGATTGATTAGAGTCATGGAAGCCTGTCTTCACTGTTGCTCATTTTGCAGGTAAATGTAGATGACTTCAGTTTTTCTCCCTTCCCACTCAGCTCAGCTAATTATTAATTTTTATCAGCAAGAAGGATCTGCGAAATAGCACCAAAATGGGGCAAAAAGAAACATCTCTTCCCCACTTTTGGAGCTTTATAGCTAAATTCCAGGAAGAAAGGTTTGGAGTTTGAGAGTAATTTGCTTCTGAAGCTAATTATTGTTAAAGATGAAAAACTGCCCAAAAACATCAGTAAAAGGAAGCTTTCCTTTGTATGTTACTGCGCCACTAAAATATAAAAATTCTGGTCAAAATCCAACCATATGACTATTATTTTAAAGCAATACCTTTGAGATTGTCTCTCCATTTTCAGGCATGCTCTCCAGAAAGGCATCTGTATTTCCTCACATTAAGTGATAGGAAATGCAAATAGACTGTAGTTTAAGTATGAAGATTACAGAGATTTATTACTCTCTCTTTCTACATTTTTTTGTGTAATAAAATGCAGGGAAATTATATGTAGCAATTGTTTTCTGAATTTTTTAGCTTGTACTACTCTTTCCAGCTCAAATGCTACTCTTTATCCTCTTTTCTTTGCTTGAAATTTTCCTCTTAGTAGACTCAGTTTCTAATCTGAAGTTCAAAAATTTTCTGTACCAGAGGTTTATGATGTTGAAATAGCACCGATGAAACCAGTGCTTCAGTTGGATGAAGACTTTTTGTCAGGTGTCTCGTTGTGCTTGGAAGAATTATTATCCCCTGGTAACTGTGTGCCTTGCATAATTTAGTGCTTATTCAGAAACAGCAAAATGATAGAGAAATTCATCTGAGGATGTACTGAGCTAACCTCCTCCCTAATCCCTGCTTTCCAGGAGTTCAGAAGATAAAGTACTGTCTTTGTTTTTGGCTGGCATGCAGCGGCATCAGAAATGATTAGTTTTTTGGCAGGGTATTTTGGAGTGAGCAGCTCCTACTTTTCACAGTGCCGAGGATAATACCAAACTCATTAGCTGTGCCTGCAGTCTTGGGAGTGGAGGGTTGAACAGTTAGACCAAGTTCAGTGTGGCTTCATGGTAGAACTAGAAAGGGGAGTATTTGTTGACATTCATAATGGGAACAACCTAAATTAATTCTGTCAGCCCATACCCATTCACTGTCTTCTGGAGCAGATGAGATTGAATTTCTCAGAAAAGAGGAAAGTGTGGTGTAATGGGCAGAACTGACAGGGTTTGAGTAGTGGAGTCTTGTAGGGCTCTCTGGTGTGAGAGGAGGATACAGACTGACCTGTGCCAGTCCAGAAAAAACATACTGTAGCCCACGGGTGACCCCGCCTGGTGCAAGGACAGCCCCCAGGCACTGTGGCCCATGGACACCCCTGAGGGATTGTAGCCATGGGCAACCCATGCCAGGGCTCAGACCATGCTCAAAGCAGAGTCAGAAGTTTTTATTGATTGGTAACAATTTAAATAAAATAATTTTACTCCAGTCAACTCATTACAACTGTTTTGCACACAGCCTGGTTCAGGTTTTGTCTTTTCTACTTGCCCATGGTGGGGCACTTTGAAATGTCAAATGAGCCTCCATCATGCACGTTATGAGGATGGTGTCAGTGGAAAAATTGCAGTCCATAACATTTCCCTCTTCAGTCTTGGCATGTATTTTTATAAGCAAGCAGATGCACAAATACAAATATATCTGAATTTTCTGTTTTGTTGAGGAGCCTTTAGATTTTTAATATGTGCATTGCAAGAATAAATGATCTGTTGTGTTTCATAAGGTGATCCATAAGGTTCTCCTACCTCACTCATTTTCTCTTCAGGCCTCTTGCACTGAGGCTATTGGACATATTATGGGTATAATTTTAGTTGAGCATTGATGTTAAAAACCCTCTTTGGATTTTAGAACAGACTTTTCAGCTTGTTATTGTAGACTAGTTAATGCATAACTAATAAAATGAACAAGTTTCCCTTGCTCTCTCAATTTTATTTGTGAAGAATGCTTTTGCTGTCACTGGTTTTGCTCTAAAGACTCCAACCCACTGTTTTCAGCTTCATAATGGTTGAAGGAGATTCAGAGATTTCCTGATTGCAATAGTGGATTTAGTGCGTGTTACAGAAATGCTGCAATCACTACCCTTTCAAAGCAGCAGCTGAATAACCCCAGATATAATGAATCATCTATTATTTGAATAAGCTAAGAAGGCAAAGCTTTCTTTTCAGTTTTGGGTAATATTTGTATGTCTTCCCTGGGGAAGGAGATCACAGAGCAGTTTTCATATGGGAATAGCATTCCTACAGCATTAATTTATTTTTTCTAGTTTTTGAGAGTGGACCAAGACAAAGACAGAGAATGCAGCCTGGACTGTGCAGGTTCCCCTCAGAAATCACTCTGTGCATCTGATGGAAGAACTTTTCTGTCTCGGTGTGAATTTCAGCGAGCAAAATGCAAAGACCCTCAGCTGGAAATAGCCTACCGGGGTAACTGCAAAGGTGAGCAAATCAAAGTTTCTCTTGACCATAATGAAAAATAATAGACTTTAAATAGTTTTTGGAAATGTCTATGTATTGAAAACTAGGAGTACTCTACTTTAAGAGGTCTCTAAAATAAGTAGGTTGAAATCCATCCTGTTAATTCTATAACAATATGCTACACAAAGATAAATTAATCTTTATTCGTCAGCAAAAATATGATCCCACACCCACTTAAACTATAATAAATCTTTATTAAGGAAATTGTAAGGTTAGGTCCTTGTTCTGAAGGACCATATCATCAGCAGACTCAGAGTAACTCTCAAAATTGTTATTTACCCTTGGTTTCTTGTCTATTGCAGTTTAGTATTTTGGGTTAGAAATGGTCAGATTCAGTCTTATGTTTCCCAACTGCAATCCTGTAGTTGGGGGAGGAGGGAAGGGGGGGTGGGAAGACCTTGTTACTGTTGGGTTTTTTTTAATGTAATCTACCAACATAAGTATGTAGAAATTGTAGGATTTTTTTTTTTTTTTTACATACCTGAAAGTTGTATAAAACTTTCAGTTTTAACCACAAATAGTGTAATTCTGAAATTCAGTGAAATGGTTTGTAATGCTTAGAGCTCTCACAGGCCATTCCTACCTACATCATCCACTCTTTTACTTCCAACATCTGTTCAGAGAAACTGTTTGACATGCAACCCTAGTGCCTTCAATTGCAATGCTCATAAAGTATTCATAGTTAAGTCTTTTCACTTTTAGAGTAGCTTGGTGATAGTGAACACAGTTCCCTACTGAAGTGTAGGTTGATTCCCAACACAATGATCTTCTTTTTAAAATGCAAGAATAGCAGTGATTGTAAAGATTTACTTTCCCTTTCTCTCTGTCCAAAAGAGAGGGATGGGGGAAGAATACCCCAGGGACCACACCGATTCAACCTATAGGAGGCAATTTTCCACATCATCTCTCTCCATTAGCTCCAGCAAACCTCTGAAGCATCAAGACTGCTTCAAAGAGACATTCTGTCTCATCTTCTGCCTGGATGAAATGCTATGCTCATTCTTCATCCCTTTCATAATAAGCCATTGTATTAGCTGATGGATCTATTTACTTTTCTGAACAAGGATAACATAATGAAGCTACCTGACCCAAGGTTTTTGTTACACTCGTGAATGACAGAAAGCATCATTGTGCACTTTGTATTAATTTTATACTTTACAGCATTATACACTTTTATGGAAATTAGTTTTGCAGAATGTTTTTCTTACTGTTTTTTCATCTTACCATACTGACAATGTCATTTGCAAGAAATTTTTTCCATAAAGATGCATTGAATTGCCTTACTGAAGGTGTCCCCAGCAATGCTGGCAATTTTTTCTGCAGTCAACAACTACTATTTGGAGAAGTGCTCATTTGCTGTTTATTTATTAATGAATAGTGTGTCAGTACAATTGTAGACTTGGAATTAGATACCTTAGGCAGTTTAAGTATTGCTAAAAGCAAGTACACATCATGCCCTCATCAATCAGGTGCTTTTAATCTTTCAATTAGATGAATGCAAACATCACTCTAATGTTTAAATATTTTTCCTTAGATTGGCAGTAGACACATGGTTGCCAATAATATACTTGGTCAATATCAGCAAGAGACCAGTACTTTTTTAGTTTCACATTTTCATAGTATTACTTATTCAATCAAAGCAGTCTTAAATTTCGAAGTGACCAGTGTCATTATTCTTACCCATGGCTGCAATCACCAGAAGTAGTTCAAGCTGTAAAAACAAGTTTTAGAGGAGAAAAAGGTGATTTGTTGGCCTAGCTGCAGTTTCAGTTTTAGCATTGCTAGAGCTACTTTTGATAGTCCCATCAAACATTCTTCTGAAAGAGCTAAGGAAGTCCTCAGATTAAGACCTCTTTTGTGCCAGTTGCTTTTGAGTGGTGAACTTTGTTGTTGCAGGTGATGCTTGACCAAAGCACTGAGGGTTGTTTTAGTAGGGTAACCAAAAAGTGATGGTTCCATTTCAGGGCAACTTTCAAGGTTTCAGAATTTGTTTTCATTCCGTGTTGGAATGAAAGCAAATCCTTTTGGAAGTGTTCATTTGTCCCCCTAAAAAACCACGAAAAAATGACACATTAAAACATTGGTTTTGAAGCAAGTTTTGAGACTGCTAACGCAGGAAAAAGTGAAAGAAACATGCATGTTTGCATGTGTAAGTTGTGAAGGGAGAAAAGAGTTGATCCCTGTTATAGGATTCACAGCTTTAAATCTATATCTGACACTCGCCCATCACTGATCAGAAAAGGCAGTCTTAAGTCTGAGTCTGTCTTCTCCTGTCCTCTTCTCAAGTAAAAAAAAAACCCTTCACCACACAAAAATCTTGTCTGAACATAAAATACTTCCAAATATCATTTTAATTCATTGAAAACATAGTGACCAGCTTTTTGTTTGGTTCATTCTAGTCTAAATACTACACAACCTTTTGAAATAATTTTGAGTCCATCATTTCTTGTTTATACATTTGGAAGTCTGTGTTTTCTTTTGACATTCATAAGGGAGTTTGAGACACCTGCAGACTGATGCCTGCTTTCTCTGTGTCTTTTTTCTTGTGAAAGCCAAATTTAGATTGACTGTCTTTTCTCCTCTTCACCTATTCTCAATTTTTGTAATCTCTATTTATTTTTTACTATTTAAATGTTAAAATTACAAAGGGATAGTTTGTTTTAACTATGCTTGTTTTCCTTTCTTAATTCAAAGTTCATTCACAGCAACAATGATCAGTTCAGATAATTCTTTAGCATTGCAAAAGAAACCATATTTAGGGCCTGGATCTCAAAGCTAAATGATAGAAAACAGTGGCAGGATTTATACCTTTTTATTTTCTCACACGCCTGTCCTAATTCCTGATGGCTACAGCAGAGACTGAAACAGCTTAAACAAACCTGAAAATGAATGAACCCTGAGCCTTTTCCTCAGTTCTGAAAAACAACTCACCTTTGACAAAACAAGCATCAAAATAGACTGTTCTGATAGTGGGCTTTTTGGAAGACCTTACAAGGTTTTATAATAGTTTTTGGTTGTTTGGTTTTTGGTTGTTTTTGTTTTGTTTTTGTTTTTTTGGGGGTTTTTTTTGTAGTTCATTTCCAGGCAGTGCTGGAATCCATTGCTAAGCTTGGAAATGCAGTAAGAAGTTACAATCTTGTAAAATTTCAAAGGTCTCAAATAATCTGCCTATGCTGTAGAACATCCACATTTTTGGATACTTTTCCAAACAAAATCTAAACTCTGAAGTTCTGGAGGTTTGCCACTTACTTGACACAAACGTTTACTGTGCAACAAGATTATGAATCTAATAAATAAATGTATGTTGACAGCTGAGAAATATTATTTGTATTAGAGGGACTGTTAAAGTATCACCTGTGAGTGAGAACCACTAAACACACACACAAATGCTTCACAGTATATCTGGCCCTACAAAACCAAAGCAACAAAACATACGAGAAGTGGAAAAGCAATATGATTGCTTTTACACTGGTCAGAAAAACACAGAGGCTATGTCTACACTAATTAATTAAGCAGTACCTGGACAAAGTATGACTGCCTGCACAGGTAAGCTGGTGGGGTTCTCCCTGTCGCTCTTTGAGTACAGGCCAGCCAGCGCTTTCCCAAAGACTGTCTACATGGCTTGGAGGTTAGATCAGACAGGGACTGTGCCCAGCAGGCAGCATGCACAGAGCCACTCTTTTTTAGGGTTTTAAGGCTGTTCAACCTGAGAACTCAGCCTAGCTCCTCTTACAGGATTGCCCTGATACAAGCCGAGGTAGATCTATTCATATGAGTGATACAAATTTGGACCCAAGTCCTTTAGTATTTAGCCTTGTACTCTTTGTGATTTGCAGAACCAAACCTTTGATAGTCTTTGCAGGTGCATGCAGGAAGTGCAAGGTGAAGTGTCTTAGTCTTGAAAATAGGACCAACCATGCAGGAGAAAAAAAAAAAAAAGACTTGTTCTAAGAATGAATGGGGATTTTACATGATTTGGAACATGGTATAGCTTACTCCAAAGGCTGTGCTTGTATGGAAACTGAAATGCACAAGACATCATCTAAAAGCAGTGGAAATAGGGGAAGCATTGCTGAGTGACGGTCTCCTTTATCTTACAAATGTAAGGCTGAATGTCTGTCAAAAATCATGTTTCAGAGACTATCTGAAACAAGTTGTTTTGTTTTTTTCATAGAGTATCTTGTACATTCCATATGAAGAGGTATGGTTTATTTTTTTCCTTTTTTTTCTTTGTTAACTCTTCAGAATTACTCTGTAAAATTTAGTCTTCTCAGTATAGAATGGCATTGTACAAAGAATATTCAAATTTTCTGTTGTCATGAAAATTTTGCATTATAAATACAAAAAAAAAAAGAAGAGAATGCTTCAGTTTATTTCTGCAAACTCCTATTGGTTTCACTTATGCTAAAATCTATCAGGTTTGCTACCCTATTTACTCCCCACTACTGAACAAGTTTTTTTTTTCCCCATGAACTTCGAAAATGTGAACTCATATGTTTCCTGCAGCAGTTTTCAAATAATTTTAGACTTTTAAAGTAATTTTCCATGACAGTAAATAATGTGTATTAACTTTTAAACCTGAAATTATGATGCTGGATGGAGGTGAGTGGGATTGAATGTTTTTTCAATGAAAATATGCCCTTTTTTTGACATGACAACAAGCTTTAGTCCTATGTAGGTTAGTGGAAGATTT